CAGTCACGAGACGCGTTTAGACCAATCACGAGACAGCACAAATATATTCGATGGATTGTAAGACAAGATAGGTTACCTACGTTGACTCGTTTTTAATATTTTTACCTGAAAACCCCTGTGGAATATGTAGAATTTCTTTCGCCAATTTTTCGTTTTTTTTTTTACCACACTCTTCTTCTCTTGGACGAAGTCAGTGAGCCCTAATTTTTCTTGTTTTGTTTTTGACATAAGTAAGTCATAATTTGACCCTGTTATCTCTTCTCATCGCACCTGTGGGCGAATAAGGCCGTCACACTCTCAACTTAGCACTGTCAGGTTTATGCCGCCGCCTTGGCTGCATTCCATCTTCCACCCTGCGTTGTATTTGACTGCAGTACAAGGTTAAAAAACATCTATATACATTGGAACATGTTCGCATGAATGTCCTTAAATTCCATTCACAATTGTATGCAAGTTACGCCCATTAGTTAGACAAAACAATGTATAATAGTGCAATTATTGTTTGAGGTTTTTGGTGATATCCACATTAACATGTATCGGTTTTTGCCATGACATTGATTATTATGGATACTACCAAAAGCCACATCCAATAATTAGTTTTTGTGATTTATAGACTGAAAATTAATACATTAACCATTTAATAAAAGATATATGTGAAAAGTCAAGGTAGGCCTTGCGATCAATGCTTTTGACCGCTGATATTTACATCACGGCTGACACGCGAGATTCAGTTTTTGGGGGAATTGATGCAAATAACTCACGAAACAGGTGCCTTACTCGGAGAACCCGGTTTTCCTAGCACTTTTCATTGCCGCTTCTCTAGAATAGAGGGAGATGGTACCCTATGCATTGTTTTCAATTATTTTACGAAAATGCAAAAGGAAAACATCACTGTTGTTCTTCTATTATTCTAAATAGAATCAAAGCTTTGGACGAAACAATCAAAGACAAGACTGCGACACTAGAGGCAATGAAGAGCGAAGAAAACGCAATAATATTAACAAAAGACAGGTGCGGTTATCAATGTGTCCGGGTGAGATAATTCTAAGCCTGTTTTCGGGAAATAATGTCGTTCAATGGTGATTATCGATTTATTCAAAGGAGTGTCTCATCAAGTATGTATCTGATTGTAGCTTGTCTTCAAGTGGGTATGGCTTATTTGGCTCAAATATGGCAATAAAGAAACTAGAATATTTGTTGCCATTATAAAATCCGCCCTAGATAAACTAAAATTAAATGTATGTATATTTACTATACCGATAGTACCAACCAACAATAGTTTATTGTACCTCAAATCAATAAAGTATTTACATAACTCACAGAAAATATAAGGCTAAACTGGTTAGGTGTCCGTTGTAAACACCCCCAAAGCGGGGCACCATGACTATAGGAACAGAATAACACGCATGCATAGAAATAGAAAACCGCGCAAATCGACTTCTGGTATGACGAATCGACATCAAGGGAGATGAGTCGTGTTGATTCGATCGAACACTGTTCACGAGTCGACTTCCGATTAGTCGAATCGTCAATACTAGAGACGAATCGACTCAAATTGGGTGTAAGAGGCAGCGATACTTGTTTACAATACAATGATTCTCCCAAGCTTTGATTGCAATATCACGTGGAGCAGTCTACTACAACAAGACAAGGACCGGATAGATTACAGCACCTGCAAAATAGATCTGCCCGTATAATAACAAGATGCATCCGCTCGTTGGTGCGAAGCTCCACCGGAACTCCGCAATCATCTCAGTCTTTCGTTTTTCCTTGTCATGCTGCGCGTTTTAATCTGTTTAACTATCTAATAAGTTAATTTATTTATCGGGGGATGTCCATATTACGAATATGCGCCACTTTTTAATCAGAGAACCAAGCGACATATCCAGACTTTACCCAACAGTCACCGTTAGACGAGGATCCGATTAACAAAATTTTCAGCTTTTTCATACTATCATGGCAAGATCCAAGTAGTCAATAAAATCTTGCTGAGTGTGCTTTGTGTAAAACAATTTTTAAACAGAAAACTGATTGCCTTGTTTTCTTGGCAGGAGGTCAGTGGAAAGGGAGTTAAAGAAGAAGGACAAACTACTAGAAGAAAGCGAGAGGAAAGCAAAATATCTGGAAGAAGAGTGCGAATACCTTGGCCTTAGAATATCATCCCGTGGGAACTCCCATATGGAAAGGTCGGGGATGCTCCACGTCTCGCTTAGGGGTATAAATCAAGGATTCTGGTCCCACTTTAAGGTGTTTTTTTAGCTTTCAAAGTATCTTTTAGGGTGTACT